TTTATTCAAAATAAATGCAACAAGTTGTTTGATTTTTTATTGTTTTGGTAGCAATTCTGACATTACAAGCCAAACAGGTAGACCTCTATACTTGCAATTTTTTCAAAGTTGACCTACCTTCTCTTCATTGTACCATGGCCCTACCTTGATATCATTGTACCATGGATGTAACATAGAAACCTAGAGTGACCTCAAAATCAAATTTAAAATTTTAGCTCTCGCTCTTCACCGAATACCAAAATTTGGTAATTGTTAGTACGCACATCTAAAACAATCTCCATCCTAGACACCAACAACGATCTAAAATAAGTATTTTTCGAATAATTTTCGTACGCATTTATAAAACAACCTCTATCAATATAATTTCAGGATTCCAGCTCTATCTCATTAGCAAATATCGAATTCACTACAATATTGTACTTGTCGTACCATTATAGTACACATATCCGAATTTCCTACATATGTTGATTCCAAATACCAACAGATACCTCAATATAAGATTCGAAGATTCCAGCCCCATTCCTTTAACCAATACCAAATTTAGTATCACTTAGCACTTTTCGTACAAATATAGTACACATTTGTGATACCACATCCATATGCCCAGGCCACACATAAAAGGCGCCCTAATACTAAATTTTTAATTTCAAGCACTATCTGTTCACGCAATACCAAATAGTACCATTACGTACTTTTCGTACAATTTTAGTACACATATCCAAATTCAATTGTATATATCAAAAGAGACCTCAATGTCAATTTTCGGGTCTATCCCTTCACCCAATACTAAACATTATTGTACCACCCAGTACTATTCGAAGAATTATAGTACATATTTCCAAAACCTCTCCATACCTGAATTCCAGATACCAACACAGACCTCAGTAACAAATTTGGGAATTCCAGTCTTATTCATTCATTCAATACCAAATTAAGTACCATTCCTTCCGTACACTTATAGCACACATTTCCGAAGAAACCTCCATATGTCCAGGCTACACAAGAACAGCGATCTCAATACCAAATATACATAGTAATATTTAGTACTTTTTCTTTTTATCATAAACCTATCACCAACAAGGACCCCAATACAACATTTAATCTTCATCTGTTCACCCTAGACCAAACTGTTCCAAATTTAGTTCAATTTAGTAAAGTTCGCACATAAATACACATTTCCAAACCCACCGCCATACCTTAATCACGACACCATCAATGACACTAATATCAAATTTCGAAATTCCAGCCCTATTCCTTCACCTATTGCCAATTTTAGTACCATTTAGCACTTTTCGTACAATTATAGTACACATTTCCAAAATCACCTCCATTCCAGATACCAACAGTTATTTAAATATCAAAACTCAGATTTTTATCTCCATCCCTCCAATTATAATTATAGTACACATTTCCGAAGCCACATCCATATGTCCAGAGTACACATTAACAGCGACTCTAATACCAGATTTCGAGCTCTGTCCCAATAGCAAATTGTACCAAATATAACACTATTTAATATTTTCCCTCTTCATCACAAACCTATTACTAACAGGGATCCAAATACAAAGTTTGAAAATTTCAGCTTCATCCGTTCATTCTAGACCAAAATCTTAATATGTAGTACCATTTAGTAGAGTTCGCACATAAATATACATTTCCAAAAATTAGTACTATTTAGTGCCTTTCGTACAATTATAGTACACATTTCCAAAATCACCTCCATATCTCAAATCCAGATACCAACATAGACTTCAGTATCAAGTGTGAGGATTCCAGCCCTATCCCCACACCCAATACCAATTTTAGTACCATTATGTACTTTTCGTTCAAATATAGAACGTATTTCCAAACTTTCGAAAAATTTCAAACACAGATAACATCAGTAAACTAAACATCAAATTTCAGAATTTTATCTTTACTCCTTCCCACAATACCAAATATAGTACCAGTTCAGTATTTTTCGTACAATTATGGTACACATTTCCGAAATCACCTATATGTCCAGGCTACAGATGAACAGTGACCCTAATACCAAATTTCAGATTTCAAACACTATCTGTTTACCCAATACGAAATTGTACGAACTATAGTACTATTTAGTACTTTTCGTGCACATGGAGTACACATTTCTAAAACCCCCTCCTAATCATAAACCTATAACCAACAAGGACCCCAATGCAAAATTTCGAAATTTTAGCTTCATTTTCAAATTTAGTGTCATTTTAGTTCGTGTACCAAACTCACAGGGTGAGATGAAAAAACCGCAACCAACTTCAGACTGCTGTCATTTCTAAGCCACTCGTCCGACAGCTGTTAAAATTATTCCAGTGACAGCTCATTATATTGTTCACAAGCGTACAAAAGCATTTTGGTGAGAATTTTCCAGAAAAAAAGTTAGTCGTGATGGAATTCAAGCGGGATAGTGTTTTTTTTTTATATTTGGCTGGAAAACCACAAGTGGCTATCGTTAGAGCACCCCAGCATTTAAATGTGAATAAAT